AGTTTCTCGCCCATCCCTGGATCCGTGGCACCGATGAAGCTACCGAAGCTGCTGCGGACGCCCCTCCACTTGCAACGCCTCTTACTACCCGCAAGCAGGGACAGCCCTTGGATGCATTTGCGGCCGATCAAGCGCCATTCGCTCCGATCAGTGCCCGCCTCGGCGACCAACCATCAGCTGGTATGGAACGCCCCATGGACTTCCGTTCTCCTGGAGCGATCAATTTGCGCGAGGTCTTCGATGTTGGTTATGCCGTGCACAGACAAGAAGAGGAGGGCAAACGTCGCAAGAACTTCCGTCAAGGTTACCGTGGGGCCAATCCCTCGACGAACTTCCGGTCGGCGCTGAACCCTCTGAACGAAGACTACGATGAGCCGGATGAGATCAACTATCAACCCATCCAGCGCGAAGATTTTGCCCCTTCCAAGATTCCCAAGTCTTCACAGCAGGCCGGTGATGTCGCTGCCATGGAGGCGAAATTGCGATCTACAAACTTGAGTGGTGCTCCCAGCCATGCCGCGCAAGCACGACAAGCCCATCAACCCCGACAGCAACAAGGCTACGGGCAACACAGTGCCAAGGTGGCCGCCGCTGCAAGACAGAGCATTGCCCGAGGTGCGCGGGAGCCCTTCGAGCTGAACCTGGATAATGCTACTCTCCTAGAGAAACGCGGTCGACGCCACCAGCCTGTTGCTTGATTTTCTTTTGACGATCCGAGGTCACGTCCTTAACGAATCGAGACAGCCTTCGGGCTACGAGTTCCTATTTTTATGTGTTCAGTGCATACGGTGACAATGTTTCTCCTCTGGCTTGGTGAATGGGATTGATTTCCTCTGGGTGGTTTATAATCAATCGGTCGCATTTCTCAGGGTGTTCTTTTTTATTTTTCTCTTCCTCGACTTTCTACTTGTGTTTTCATTTATGATAAAACTTCTTGTGCGTGTTCTACCTCTTTGCGTTGATAAGTTTCAGCTCTCCCTTCCATTTCCAACCCAACTTGCGGTACCTTCTTCTTTTCCCCACACTTTACACATATCATTTCTTCCTTCCTACCTTCTTCGTCGGGATTGCCAACCGGACTTACACTCTTACACTACGGATGGATATAAGCGCCCGCATGATCGAATCATATACATCTCCTGCCCCCCCTTCTTCATTTAAACCTTTCCCCCCCTGGATCTTGTCATGTCATTCATATCGTGATGCAATCCGTCCATGAACATATACCTGCGCAGGAACAATGATGTCTTGACTTTATGGTTTACACCGTTTCTTCACCCCCCCTCTTCTTTCTTGCCCTTCGCCCCCTTTTCATTGCTGTCTTCGACATTTCTGCCTTGTTCCTTGACGAATTTTGTGCGTAGAGGCTGCGTTTTGGTATGTAGATTACTAGTACCGACTTGGCCGTCAATTTTCTCTTTGAATTTCCCCAGTTTTGGTCTGTAAATGAAGTGACCTGATGATCGGCATGTGTATTGTATGATAGATGAATTTATTTGGGATATTACTCCTTACTTCACAAGACATGATGTAAGGTTTGCTATATAACGGTTGTGGGGGTTATGATGTGTAACGTAAGAATGCTATTTTAGGTGGGGGGTTCTGTACTCTATCATGATTCTATACACCAGAGTCCAAAGTATGTGGAGGCGGAGCCTACACGCCATCCATCAGACATAATAATCACAGGTGAAAAATAAAAAATCATCCAAACGATGCATGCGAATCCATACCTCACCTTTGTGCACGGATCACAAAACATCGCCCAAAAACCAACAAAAACAAATAGTACAAAAATGGTATCAATCATGAGTCAGATCAATGCTGCATCGTCAACAAACACAGGGATATAAACATGAGGGCATGAGGTTCCCGTTGAAGAAGGCACGGGTGTCGCCGTTCTCCTTCTCAGGGTGGATTTTCTACATGATTTGCCGGCCCATAGTCTCGATGGGCAGCAGGCACATGGCCAGGAACGCAGCCAGGATCAATGCACCCGATGCGTAGATGGGGGCATCAGGGCTGGCGGAACCGCCGTAGATAGCCACCAGGGGGGCACAGAGACCGGCGATTCGGTTGAGACAGGAGGAGATGCCCGTGGCAGTGCCGCGGTTGGGGGCCGGGAAGACCTCCGGAGTGTACGCGTACAGAACACCGTACATGATGTTTTGGAAGAAGGCTTCCAGACAGGAGCAGACGAGCTGGACGTTTGAGTCGGTGGAGGCAGTGAAACAGAAGAGCAGGACACCGGTGATCAGAGTCGCGATGCACATCGTGCCCTTGCGACCGACGTACTTGATCTCCACGGTATAGCAGGCTAGAATGGAACCAGGAACGCCGACGACGGACGTGATGGCGTAGTTCCGATAGGCGATGTAAGTGGAGCTGGAGCCATCGCTCCCATTGTTGGCCAGGTACTGGGGAAGGAAGGCATTGAAGAGGGGATAGCCCATTCCAATGGTAGTCCAGCAGAACCAGAGCAGAATAGCTAAGGCGAGGTGTTAGCAAGAACACGAGCTACACTTGACATGGCTAATACGTACTGCTCATAGCAAGCTTCTTTGTGGCAAAGAGCGGGGCAATGTGGTCGAAAGAGAACTTGGAAAGATATCTCTTCACGATCTCGGTCGAGCTGAGCTTCTCCTTCTGAGCCTCCTGTTGATACCCGCCGATCTCGTTCAGGATTTCCTCGGTGAGCCACGTCTTGGTCTTGTTCTTGTGAGCAATGCCGTAGACAGAAGCAACGGCGTCAGCCTGGCGACCACGGCCCAGCAGGAACTTGGGCGATTCGTAGAGGTGGAAGAGGAAGAAACGGCAGATAAACATGAGGAAGGTCAAGCCACCAATGGTGAAGACGAAGTATCTCCAGCCCATGTTATCCTGCTTGCTGCAGCAAGCAACCCCACTTGCGACGTCACCGCAGGAAGGAAGACCGCTGTCACAGCTGAAGTTGGGAATCAACGCCCAGGCGAGCAGACTGGAGATCAGCTGACCGACAGGCCACCAGACACTCAGCATGGTCAACATGTTTCCGGAAGCAAAAGGCAAAAATTCCAAAAATAAAGCTCCATCGACGGGTAGGTTACCACCAACACCAAGACCCAGGCAAGAATAGAGGGCACAGGTCCTGAATGGTTAGCATCAATCATTGGCTATCTTTAGACATGAAAGTCATAACATACCCAATCCAGTTCGGACCACCACCAGCTGCCACACCAAAGACACTGCACAAGAAAAGCGTCGTGTTGAAGGCGAGACGGCGTCCAACTATATCGGAAGCGATTCCCCAGAATGAAGCACCAATGCACAGACCCAAGAACAGAGCACAGGTGGTGAATCGCACCCGCGTAGAGGAAACTCCAAATTCCTCCGCGATCGGTGTTAGGGTTAGAGCAATGCCCTTAAAAGGTTAGTATGATAGACATTGGATGGTACCATCTTTGGTCTCTTACCTGTAACCAGAGACTAGCGGCCCGGCGTCAGCAACACGATCACTGCGAGAGGGAAGCGGTTTTCTACTTACTTGTCTGCAAGCCAACCGAAGCCGCACATAGCAAAAAGCTCCCACTGATACCGGCCCATGCCAATATCCTGGATGGCTCTGTTAATGACCTTTGCTTTGCCTGCATATACAGTTTAGCTTTGCCTTTGCTCATCGACACGGATAAGAAGAAAGATTGTTATGGAGCCACTTCTTAGCGCGAAGGATAATGATATGTAACGTACGGTCATAGACAGAGTCCTGCCCCGTGGCAACCAGATCGGCCTCAATCTCAGCGCGGAGGGCTTCGATGGTCATATGATCGTAGTTGTGGAGGGATCCAAACCCAGCTTCCTCGGAGGGAGCTCTGTCAAGGCTCTTTTCATCAGTCTTGTCATCAGTACCGCCCACTTGTTTGGCTGTCTGGGTGTCGGGTCTCGAGCGCATTGGGGCCTGATCGAGAGGGATCACGACCCCAGCGAAGTCGCTGTGGTCGTGGTTTTTGAACGGGTTGATTCCGAAGGGCATTGTCGCTCGGGAAAAGGATGGTGCTTGGAATTTGGGTCAAATTCGAGGGTCAATGGCCGGTGGTGGGAACGAGGAAGCGCTGTCGAGGGCTCGTCTACCGTGGAGAATGGGCTGGAGCCACCGAGGGCAATGGGGAGATTCGTTCTACTTCTCAAGTCGCACAGGATGCAGGTGGTAGGCAGGGAATCGAGACGGTTAGAGCGCGAATGGGAAAAGCTAACGAAGCGGATTGTCGCAAGGGTCAAGTGGGGGGCGCAATGGTATTGTTTGTGGCGCGAGGGGATGATGGGGTCAGCTGGTCCTATGTCGCTGCTAGTGACGAAGAGTACAGCAGAACTGCTCAAGCGATGATTGAAAATGGGCAAGAAGAAGTAAATGGTATGTTGATAGCCCAGGGGGCGAGGAAATTGGAAAAACTGGTAGCCCAATTGACCTGATATGACAGGACGAGAGAACCTTGGGGGGGGGGGGAAGGATGAGGTCACAGACACGGAGACTGAACCTCTTGGGGAGATTTGGGATGAGCGGGGAAAGCAGGTGAAAATGAAGCTTTCTGATGGCGATGAGACAATTACCGCAACAGTAGGCGTCTTCACTGCTGGTGCCGTGGTATAGATGGATGAAAGAGGAAGGAAGGATGGATGGGTGGGATTGCGGGGGAGGGGCGGAGAGGAAGGAGGAAAGGTAGGAAAAGAGGAAGGAAGAGAGAGGGTAGGGCCGTGAGGTGGTAGGGAAGAGAAAAAGAGAAAAGATTGCAGGATACAGAGAATAATTGGCAGTCTATATACGGTTTGGGAGTCGAGGAAACAGCAACAGAGTTGAAGGAGCAACGAGTGATGGCATTGTCCCTCATCTTGCTTCTACTTCTCTTCTTTCCCTACACTTTCTTTTTTTTTTTCACGCTAGTACGCTATCGATAGGTAGAGAGACCATTGGACTGGAGGGGCAAAAGACAACAATGGGTCGTCATGCAGCCGATGAGCCAGTCAGCGTGAAGCAAGTCTGTCAGCATCAAGATTGCAAGTGATAGAAAAAAGTTTTTCGGTGTTGCCCAGGATTATCAGATTCTCCAGCATGGGCTGCTCAATTCCAGGCCACCAGCCGAAAATCTCTGTTGCAACAAGATCCTCTAAGCTTCTCTGAACAGCAAGCAGAGAGTAGCAATGAGATCGGGTAGTTGCAAGGGATTGTGGTTGTTTGACAAGCCACATTGAGGGATTGTACATACAGTAGTAGTAGTAGCACATGCACTTGGTTAGTGAAAGGTAGCCGGGAGCGGAGAAGGAAGAATGGAGAATGGAGAATGGAGAATGGCGCGGAAGCTTTGATAGGCTCAGCCCAGATCACGCCGGCCGACGCCGACGCCTTTTTTGGTGGAATGCTCATTGGCCCAAAGTCGAAAGTGGTGTGGAGGTGGGGGCTTTTGGTGGGCTTGGCATTTGGCTGGCTGCAGAACGGCCCGCTAAAAGCAGCACTGCGTTGGGAAGTTGGAAGGAATGGAAAAAGGGACAGGAACAATCAGACAGGACAGGAGAACTCCATTCTTGATAATGAGTCGCCTCTCCCTTATCTTGCAGATTAGGTCACTAGGGTCCTATCAATGGTATTTGTACTAAAAGGGCAAGAACTGACAACATTGTACAGAAATAGTTATTACTTCCCTTCCTCTCCTTCATCTCACCATCATTAACTTATGCATCTTTCGAAAGTTCATGGTCAACTGGAGGAGGGTCCAAGAACGGGAACAGCCACCCCATCATGGCGACCCATTCTTTGCCGTTGTGGCTCACTCCGCTGGCTCACAACATTTCCTGGAGCCTGGCGTCGAAACTGAAATAATCGAACTGGGTCTCCTCCGACTCTCCGGCCATCCTCGGGCTCCGCCTCAGGGAAAGACGATCCCCACCACACGTTGGACATGCTCATGAATCGCTTGCATCGCTGATTCAGATTGTGCCAGGCTGCCAGCCCTGTGCCCATTGGGTCTTGGGTCTCGTGATGACCATGAATGGAGTTCAATCAGGGTTTACCGCATCTCTATCTCGCGATTGATCAACCAGCTGAAGGGAAAAGAGATGGGTCAGGAAAAAAATCCCACGTGCCAAGATTGACCTGGCCCCTACGTCATCGAAGACACGGTCCATTTAGCACTAATCCAGAACTGGTAATCATATGGAGGTAAAATTACCCCATCTGGTGACAGCGTCGGTACCGAAGCCCATGTCTCGAAAACATTCGGAAGGTGCCGCGAATTCGCTTGTCCAATTTCACCGTTGCCCAAACTTCGTCGGCTCACAGTCCTTCGACGAGATTCGTTCGGGATCTAACTTCATGGCGGGGGCAATTGTCTTCTCAACATTAGGATAGGAGGGGGTGGTTCGCACACTTGCTGTCAAGGTAAGGAGGTAAGGAAGTAAGGAACAACAGGCGTGTCTGACAAGCAACTGAAGTGTGCACGATCTACAGGACACATGCGAACGACCACCCACACCAACTGTTTCAAGCCAAGAGTTCAGCGACGAGTCAACAATTTCAATTTGTCTGACCCTGTCGACACGAGGTTGGATTCCCAAGCAGGCTTAGGCTCGATGTTGATGCAGCCTTTCATCATGGTCCGGTTCGTCATGTCCGCATCCGTCTTGAGCGATGGTGCCTCAGCCCGGAGCCTCCGCTACTACTCCTACCCTCAATTCGATTGTCATAATGCACCAATTCTGCCCCTCGACCGAACAGAGAAACAGAAGAGACGAGCCTGGACAACATTGCACAATGTCTTTGCTCCAGTCACTCCCGCAATCCGTTGAGTGAGCGACGGGAAATGTTGTGTTGTCTCGCCCTGACCAATGACGGTACTTTTTCCGCCGAAGTGGCCCGGGACTCATTTACCCGTCCCGAATCCCAATGGTGATGGGGCCAAAGTCGAGCATCTCCTAGTCTAGTCTCATTAGGGACCCCTTAGCCTGTTTCGCCCTGGTCTTCTCTTCGACTTCGCTCGGCACTGCCATACCTTGGTCCCAGCCAATCCGGATGGAGCTTTCATTTTCAACCAGACAGGACCGTCTTTGGGGCAAAAGACACATCCCGAGGTATGGGGTAAGACGTGTTCCCCCCCGACCTGTCAGCGTACTTGATGCCGGACTAGGCCACGAGTCGCAATTTGTTCGGGACTGCGACTTACGTTGCAGTATTCTTGTGCAATTTCGGCTATCTTGTGTTCTGATTGCTTCTCAGATGAAGGGAGAAGATTTGTGCGAGTCAGCTACATGAGGACGAGCGTAGTAAACGTAGACTACTAGGTATAGAGTAGCGTAATCATTTAGTTACCGTAAGCCACCATCTTCCAGTTTCAGCCTCTTCTCTTCCTCCTCCAAGTCCAGTCTTACTATATGAGCAAAAATCGGCCCAGATTCACCGTCCGAGATCTTTTCAAACCCCCAGCCGTCTCTACTGAGTATAGGGATTCCCCTCGTCCGCTAAGATCCACCTAACAATGGCATGATCCGCGCCAGGACTGTTCCGCCAACAATCAATTGTCTTCATGGTCTGATATGAGGGTCTCCATGCATAACAACGAAGAAACTTTTCAGTCTCGCTATCATCCGTAAGATGAACGCGACTAGTCTGTATACGTTATGGAGCGACACTAAAGCAGTTTAAAAAAACACCGCTAGTCGATCTCCAGTGCTGCGCAGGGCTACAGCGTAAGTTAAGCAGAGCAGCGTAAGCACTTGCCACAGTCATAAGTCACCGATTGAGTTAGTCAATGCAGTACCCGTGACAGTGTCAGACAAAGTACGTCCAGTACTGTACTTCACTCCCCGACTACTGTCTAAAATAAGTAATCGCTAGTGAGCTCACACAGTTGAACAGTTATCATCTACCATGTCCGTCAACCATACAATGCAATACAAAAACTCATTCCACATTATCGCCCGTCACCAACACCAGCCCCATCCCCATCATCATCATCATCATCATCAACACTACTATCGAGTTGGTACATGAGTACCTGCAAAGACAGCCAAGCCGGTCAGCCACACGCCATTAACCAGCAACCCATAAGCAAAGCCCAACCCCATCCATGATGGAGTAGGCAGGCCGGTACTTTGCAGTACCAAAGCCTCTGTGCTTAACCGGACGGCCACGATCATCCGAAACTACAATGGTTAACATAACTTATACCCCGGTGCTTTTCTTGGGGTAAGGTACTGTACTGCCCCCGGCAACTTTTGCGGTGCGCCGCGGTGGCGTAGCTTCAACGTGATGCCGTGAGCTTCGCTAGGAATAGATTGCCTGTTTGGGGTGGTGGTAGCTCGCTGCCCGTGGTTTGAAAGCTGATTACTGATGATGTGTTTCGGGGATTGTTCGCTGGGATGATGTGGCCGGATATTACTCCTTCTGGAAGATACATGGGCGGTAGGGACTTTGGGGGATACGGACTTCTCCCGATTCGGGTTTCGATGTCAATGTGATATTGCAGAAGGGGTAGATGATGATGCTGGATCGGAGAGGGATTCGTGGTCCCAAGTCGATTAAGCTTGTTTCGCTGGGCAGGAATCTACTGTAGGGCCAGGGTCTGTCTGTGGGGAAATGGCTACGCGTATGTGTTTCTTTACCTAAAGGGGTAAGTCGAAGTATATGATGAGCCGAGTCCCGACCTTCGGCCTGGCCTAGGCGCTTGGACTGGAGAGGACTGTGATGGGATCGTCACGGGAGGATGTGGACTGTTCTGGAAAAGGGATCCCTCTGAAGATATAAGATTCCCGTTTCTATCATGTACGTCGATGAGGTTTGGATCGTATCTATACTAGCTATACAGGACGGCCTAGGGGTTCAAGCTTCCGGCGGATGCCTCACAGCTTATCGATTCTCCCCAACAGCCACTGCAGGTGTCGGTACGACACGCGGGGCTGGTACTGCGGCTGCATGTGGCCGCTCTGGTAGGTCTCCGCCCACATCAGGCCGCGCTCGTAGTGCTGGATGCCCATGTCGCCCTGGCCGCCGGTGGCGCCGCCCAGGATGGGGTCCCACTGGAGGTCCGGGAGCTCGATGTTGATCGGGGTGGCGGGCTCGGTCTCGAAGCCCAGCTTGCCGTTCCAGGTCATGTTCTGGATGGACAGCAGGGTGCCCTGGGTGAGGATGACCATGTCGAAGTCGCCGTTGGCGATCAGCACGCGGTTGGTGCCCTCGATGACCTGCGGCAGGACGTGCTCGATCGGGTTGGCGGACAGGTCGCCCTCGCCCTCGGGGCCGCCCACGCCCACGAAGACGCTCTCGTTCGAGCACTCGGACCAGGTGATGTTGGCCGGGGCGTGCAGGGCGCGCTTCACGTCCGACCGGTCGAAGTAGACCGTCGCCCCCGGCGGGGTGTAGTCGACCTCGGTCGGGAAGCCCAGCACGTCCCAGACGATGGGGCAGTTCTCGTTGATCGCGTAGGGGTTGAAGCAGGGGTTGTTGCCCAGGACCTCGTTGTTGATCAGGTCCCAGAGGTCACAGTCGCCCGAGTAGTTCATGCTCTTTGGGGGCTGCACCCCGCTGGCGGGGAAGGTGAGGTACTCGTCCATGAAGGCCTTGTAGCCGCACGACTCGTGGAGCTGCTCCAGCTCGGCAAGGAAGCTGGCGTTGAAGTTGAAGAGGACCTTGTTGTCCTGAACGAAGGGCACGACCGGGGCGTCGGTCTGAACATAGTCGAACTGCCCGATGACAGGGTCGTAGGTCAATGCTCCTATTTTAAGTAATCAGTCAAACGGGTTCGTTCTCGAACTTCTTGGAAACACTCACCCTTCAGGTCGAAGTACTCTGTGTCCTTCTCGTCCAGCATGGCAGCTGAGATATAAGGGACATAGCGGCCTGCATAGCTCTCGCCAGTCACGTAGATCTTGAAGTTCTTGATGCCGAAGGTCTGCTGCCAGTTCTTGAAGAACTTAATGAAGTCCTGTGCGATCTCCTCCTCCGACACTGCAGTCGGGGTGCCAACAGAGAAGCCCGTGCCGACAGGTTGGTCGACCCTAATTAGTTGGCTTAGCTCGGGTGTCTCCAGTGGGATATCAGAGATGGCAACTTACCACAGCACGTTGGTCAGGTTTACCCAGGAGTATTGGTTCTCAACCGGCAAGTATGTTCCAGGCTGCCAGGTGAACCGTCCATTCTCCTGGAGAAAGCCCTCCTGTAAACGCATCAGTAGTGCATCTATGCGAACAAGAATCATGCCAGAAACTAGCCAGAGACGAGCATCCAGGGCCACCATTCAACCAGATGGTGACCTCATCCACAGGCGCACCGACGGTAGGCTGGAAGACAAAGAAAAGTGCTCTTGACGGATCGTCCTTCTCGATGGGGATCAATCCAGAGTATGTCTCACCGATGTCGTAATGAACATCAGGAAGACTCTTCACACGGAAGGCTGAGACCTAAGTCAGCGCTGTTCTTTGATCATTGCTCTGGGCTACATACCCTGCGTAGCGTTGTTGTAGAACCGATAGTCCTCAACAGGGGTCGAGTGAGACCTCTTCGCAAGCTCCGCTGCGCGCTTAGCCGGTTTGGCGTCGCGAGATCTTTGAGCGAAACGGCCAAGTTTACCAGCAGATGCATGGTCCGCGCATAATGAGGCGGCTAGGACAGCCGTGGACAGTAGACTGCGGAACAGCATACTGGTAGTGCGATGTGGGATGAAGCCTGGGGACACAAACTTGCTCGGCTGTTCTTGAGTCTGAGCAAGAGAAAGAGGGGTATTTATGTCACTCGAGCTGTACTACCTATCAAGAACGATAGGCTGATGAGCTATTTGATACGGTCATCGTGTGGAGCCATTTAGGTTCGGAGAAAGCTTCAATCGATGCGTTGACTTGAGAGGGCCGCATATGACCAAGTGGAGAAGCGTACACAGGCTAACTGGTTCTTTTGATAGCTTGCAAGACGTCTGGCAGGTGGGATGAGACCTTGCATGGTGCTCGGCTATCTCCTCACCGTTGCCGATTGTTTTCAGGCACCGGACCTTGCAGTGTCGGGGATATGCACTGCTTACGTCGTACCAATCCTATTCCCGTGTGGGTTTGGGTTTGATTACGCTGGGTGAGCGATATGGGCAAGAAAGCATTCGATTGGTAAGAGTGCGGCTGGATCAAACGGTAGAGGCAGCGATGGACATGAAGACAGGATCACGTAGCATTTGATGCTCAGTTCCGGCTGCAAGCGATAGGTCCCTAAGCTGTGGAGAATTCTCCGGGCTAATACACAAACGGGATTGTTGGCCGCTTAGTGCCGACAATGCTAACGATCGTCAAGGAAGGTGATAACGTGATGGAAATTTGCACAGATAAGACAATTCAAAAGACGAGCAGTCACTGGCTCAAACCTTGCTCTCTTCATTTCCCCAATGTGGGATGATGTGATGGGTCGTGGTTAATATCGCAGTGTCTCGCGGAGTCACGGAGGAGGGACGGAGTACGACGGAGATAGTCTAGCCGCGATGGGAATGCCGACAACTGGTTGGGCCGAGGACAAGCTTTCGCCGGGATCCGTCCGGCCTTCGTCTTTGCAGAAAAAACAGCCGCCGTGTTTCCGGTCAAAACAAGCACCTTTTCCGCTACAATATACTCCAATCTCTTGTCTTTGAAGCGAATACGCGTTCTTCTGTTGCTTTGTTGATATCGGTTTGAAGTATACGATTGGAACTAGCAGTCGAGGCTTTGACTTCCGGCAGATATTCTTCAAAGGTTGCGGGTACCACCATTCATTGATCGCTGAATGGCGTGAACTCTCACTCAGTTGGCACTTCAAGGGTGCATCTCAGCTCTAGATGAAGCACAGTTCACTTTGCCAAATGATTTTCAAAGGCAGAATTAGAACCCGCCTGCAAAAGTCCTTCTGTTGAGAACGTCGAATCCAGTTCTACCTACACAGCGGTACCCAGAATCGAAGTCAATAAAGCCGTCAGCATATTCTTGTCAACGGACAAATGACGGATATTCCCAAGCAGAAGTGTTTGCTGAGGTTCGAAAACGTATACAAAGACATGAAGTTCTGGAACGAAATCTAAGATAAGATTTCAACTTCTAGCCTCAACTGGGTCAATGTGTCAGGACATCCAAAACTGATACACGCTCCATAAGAACCTGGCTCGACGGTAGAATGAAAACCACAGGTCATCTATCATTACCATTAGGCTCCAGCACAATGTGTTAGACTGACCAGTCAAGAGACTTTCTAAACAGAACAATCCCATGTTCGTCCGATTGCAATGATGTCCCTTAAAATTATCCCTCTTCCTCCTCCCCTTCCTCCTCACCAATACATACAAAGCGGCTGTACCTCAGTTGAAAATGTCAAAATCCGCTTGTGAGCTGTGTACGAGTGATGGTACATGCCCTGACTAACATTCGAGAAAGCAATTCCCTTACCATGAGAATTTAACAGACGGTTCTTGTCGCGTCATGTGCAGAGCCGGAACAGCAATCACCACGTTTCCATTCCGCACATCTACGACAAATTGGTTCCGGTCGACTACCGGCAGCTAACTCGGAGGAATACTGCATTTGAGAGAGGCCATCCGCTGATCAAGTCTCTTCTGCATCTGTTGCACACGGCCCATCTCAATCTCATTGGTGCGGAATCGCTTGAGGTTCGAGGCCAGACGGAACTTGGACCAGATCCATATAGCCCATTTTGTGGGATCATATTGCCACCACTCAATGCCGTTGCGATAATCCGAGGGAAACTAGCAAACCAGAAGTTACCATCAACGATACCTGAAAATCTCGAATTGGTATCCGGTCCTCAAGCGGATAGCTTTACCTCGTGGTGGAAGTTATGGTAGCCCTCACCAAGTGTGACCAACGCGGTAAAAATATGGTCGCGAGGCGAGTTCCTGTCGTCAAAGGGCTAAAGCTTGTCAGCAGATCAGGTTCCCTTCGCCAATGCACATGAAAACTGGCCTGATCTCCCAGCCAATGCGCCAATGAATTGACACAGAAAGTCGCCTGCTGGAATAGGAACATCCTCAAGATGCCAGCATACACCAAGCCACCCTTCCAGTCACCCCACCCCAAGCCCGCCATGGCCATCGGTAGGATCAAACCAAAGCCAAGCACAAATCTGATATAGTTCCGATGCTGCCAGATGACTACTGGATCTTCGTTCAAGTCAGAGATATCTGGCCGACCACAGTGCTTGGGGTCCTCCTTCAGTATCATCCATAGCACGTGGGAGTATAAGAGGCCCCTTCGGATATTGTAGGGGTCCTTCTCTGTGTCAGTCCATCTGTGATGGGCACGATGTTTCGCACTCCACCAGCGAATCGAGCCTTGCACGGCGCCTCCACCGGCACAGGCCAGGAAAATTCTGAGTGGTAGGCCGCTTGAAGATGGAATGCCTGTCAACAATCATGCTCGTATGCACAGATTGCCGGAGCTATGGAGCCAGTTCATATACGAAGAAGAACTCACGCTTCGTAGGTTCTATGTGACCAAAGCCGATGATAGCCCGCGGTAATACCCAGCGCAGTCCAAAAGTAGTAGAGCACAGCCCAGATGGCAGTCGGTCGTCGCAAGGGTGTGGAGACAGCGGTTATGCAGCCACATAATGGTATTATGATGATAAAAGTCGTGTTAAACCAAGCAACATGGCGGTGCCAGTTGCGGAGTGTAATTGGTTGCTCGCTGATGGGCGGTTTTGGAATGTCTGGCATGATACCAGCCATCCTGGGATGCGATACTACAGATATGGGTGACTCAGGTATACACAGTGTGTGAAAGAACATTGGAAAGGGTTCGAATGCGAAAAAGCCTGCCTTAATACTACAGGGACATCATCCCACTCGAACATGTTGAACAGTTGGGGATGTGCTACTTCCGGAGCCGAGATGCCCAAACGTCGAACAGGGCAATGGTGGTAACTGACAGCCATACGTGAGCAGTCACACAGCATGGGGCTTCATTTCCTTCTGTATCGAGTGTCAGTATGTCGCGCCTACTCCTACGGCTACTTGCACATCCTTCGCCTCCTCTGTTGTGCAATGCTAGCATCCTGGTCCAATCTTTGCACGTTGATGAGCCTGTGGTGGTCGGTGACAGGGCTCATACAGCAACTTGAACAGGGGAAAGGGAAAGGGAATATGAAACAAACTGCATGATAAGACAGACTACTTACCTTGGAGTAACAGCAGCACAGGCTTGGGGCTTGAAGCACCCCTGCCCAAAAAGGCCAGTGTTAGGACCCTACCTTACGTAATGTCCTCAGGTTCAAGGCTCCCTCAGTTTCAATCTTAGAACCTCCACCGCTCCTCTGCCTTCCTCCCATCTCTTCTTCTCCTTTGTCTGTCTTCTGAGTTAACTATAAAGTATGACTCACAAGCCTGTTCGGTTGCTGACTCCAGGATACAATACAGTTCATCTTCGATCTCCTCTTCTCGTTCCACCTTCCCAATGGCGTTTAGCGTGTGTTCTGCCTCGCCAAGAGAGCAGACACAGCCAGACCCTGAACTCTTACAAACCCACTCGACAGGGTCATTGGCCTCGCTTCTCAGCCGTCTACCACCATGATACATGATTTGTGGTCAGTCTGAGACTCTGAAGTTGTGGAGTAATTGCTCATAGTAAGTGCAGTACGAGAGAAGAAGCAGAGAGGCCCAAGCAAACAACCTTCTCCCCACTGTGGAGCACTGAATACCACCCACTAATCGGTTGCCCGGCTAGCTTAGTATCCAATATCCATCCATTCCTTTCTCTTCCCACTTTTTTTTTCTTCTTTCGCCGCCATGCTTTCCCAGGGTACCTGGTTGTTTCGTTCGGGCATATTTGCTTGCACCTGAAGACTGGTGGCGGACTGTCCTGTGGATGGTTGCTTTTTCCTTGTAGAACTTCTACTTAATTCCTGGTGCCTTCCATCTGTCTTTTCCCTGCTGTATCTCTTTCAACTTTTATACTGGCCGTTTTTGAAAACACGGGAACGAAATAAGCTTCCCCCCCAGAATCGTCTGTGGTCCACCTTCCCGCCGGTACCGCAATTGATATGGCGACGAATTTCGAGTCCTCGGACAATGCGCGCGTGGAGTTTACTGCACACACCACGCAGCGCAATGACTTGAATGAAATGACAATCCCAGCATTTGAGGAGAAACAACCGGACACCCAAATAAACGATGGCCTCCCACAAGGTGCACCAACGTCGCTCGAAGGCGGTCTATACAGGCCTTCATCTGGCGGATTTCCTTCGGACGATTCAGCGCATAGTGTCCCAGTGACTGTCGGAACGACTGATGCCGATGGCAACACCTATCCTGAAGGTGGACTAGAAGCCTGGCTGGTAGTCTTTGGGAGCTTCATGGGCCTCGTTGGCTCTCTTGGTCTAGTGAATACCATCGGTACTTTACAGGCATACATTGAGAGCCACCAACTGAAGGACTACAGCTCTGGCAGCATCGGGTGGATCTTTGGCGTCTACGCATTCCTGACCTTCTTCTGCGGCATCCAAATCGGTCCTATCTTCGATGCTAAAGGACCTCGCTTTCTTGTCTGCGCCGGAGCTGTGCTGATCATGGCGATGATGATCGCCTTGGGGTTTTGCACACAGTACTGGCACTTCATGCTAGTAATAGGTGTTGCAGGGGGTATCGGAGCCTCGTTGCTGTTTACACCAGCAATTTCTGCCATCGGACACTTTTTCAACGAGAAGCGCGGAATCGCGACGGGCATCGCCGCAACGGGTGGCTCCGTTGGTGGCGTCATTTTCCCCCTGGCACTGGAAGCTCTATTCCCCAAAATAGGGTGGGCATGGGCAACTCGAGTCATTGCTCTCATTTGTCTCATCACGCTGCTAGCAGCATGCCTGCTCATCAAATCCCGGTTGCCCAAAAAACCGGCTTCGAAAGAAAACGTTCTTCCCGACTTCCGTATCTTTCGGGATCCTGTATTCACTCTCACAACCCTGGGGATCTTCTTTATCGAATGGGGTCTTTTCGTCCCACTCAGTTATATCTCCTCCTACGCACTGGATAATGGCGTCTCGACCAAACTGTCGTACCAGATGCTCGCGATCTTGAACGCTGGTTCGTTCTTCGGACGAGGTATTCCTGGCTTTGTTGCTGATTATCTGGGCCGCTTCAATACACTCATCGTCACCGTTGCCTTGTGTCTTGTATGCAACGCATGCCTCTGGCTTCCAGCGAGCAACAGTGTCCCGGTTATGATTGTGTACTGTGTCATTTTTGGATTCGCAAGTGGCAGTAACATCAGTCTTACGCCAGTCTGTATCTCTCAGCTCTGCAAGATTGAGAATTACGGCAGATACTATGCCACAGCGTACACGATCGTCAGTTTTGGGTAAGGCGATTCCCCACTGTCTAATAAGGATTTTGCAGGGCTAATGACGAGAATTCCAGAACCCTTACTGGCATGCCTATCGCTGGTGTGATTCTTTCCCGGTGCAATGGGAAGTACTGGGGTCTCATCACCTTCACAATCTGCTGCTATGCCCTCGGTCTTGTTTGCGTTACTGCAGCCAAGTTGGTCCGTGTCGGCTGGCGCCAGGCTTTCGTGATCTACTAAACTATGACATAGATTGGTATCAATCTTACTTCCCAGTCTAATAAGTAATATCATTTTTGGAGGCTTTGAGCCACATCGCAGAAACATTAGGTATAGATATGCATGCAGCTGCCCATTCGCGACACCATGAAGCGAGCCGGACGTCTGTTTGCGGACTTCACTTCCGACGAAGTCTGCCCAACAAACCTACGGCGGCCAACCATCAAACATGTCTGTTGTCATGATGAGCAATTTAAGCTCATTGGATTGTGATCTGAGGGGTCGGAAGGAAATTACACATCGCTTCCCGGAATACATAGAGACGAAGTCATCAGAGTTCATATATATGCCACTTCTTCCATGACATGAGACGTTCTGGCCTGCCAGCCTTGCTTCACGTTTTGCCCTCGGTAAACACCCTTCGGAAAGATCAACATTATTGTCAGCCTACGATGCCTTCCTCCAAGCAGATTCTAGCAGTGGTCTTGACGTCCTGGGCTCTTGGCCCCCGCGTAGCAGCTGTTCCTCAGTATCCAGGAATCCTTGCAGGAAATCCTGTGTCTCTCTCCACAGCAGGAACCAAATCTTCGAGTTCTGTGTCTGCATCTCAAGGAGGGAACTCCACCTCGAGCACACCCGTTTCCTCTTCTAAGAGTGTCGTGCATCCATCTCACTCAGCCACATCGAGTGCCATACCTCCATATGGGGACGGAGACCATGTAGATGCTCGTTCAATCCACCCATTCCCCCCTGCTATCTCACTGACGGCTACACCCACGTCGTCCGAGGCTGTTCACATCCCCCCTGGAGTGGTGCCTTCCGCCTCTGATCCTGTTATACCTCCACCACATCCATTCCCCTCCGTGCCTCACGACGGCGTCCAGGAAACACCTGCCCCTCACGACGGTACTCCCGAGCACATCCCACGTCCTCCTCTTTCCAGCAGCAGCAGTATTCACATCCCCTCGTCAGGAGGCGTCGTGCACCCCACTCCCTCCCTCCCGGTTTCAGAGTCTAGCAAGATTGCATCTCCCGACAGCAGTTCGGCGAAGATCCTGCCCGAGCCCACGCCTTGGCCGAAAGAAAGCGAGCCTGCATGCCCATCTGTGCAGTGTCCACCCTGTCCCTCAGTCCACACGGTCACAGTTACCGTGAGCGGCTCCAGCTCCAGCTCCAGCAGCAGCATCAGCATCAGCAGAAGTACAGTGCACATCCTCACCCCGAGACATGCATTAATCAGCCACGGCAGCGGTGTCCTACCAGCCAGTTTCACTCCAAGCGCCACTCCAAGCGCCACTCCAAGCGCCACTCCCAACAACACCTACGACGAAGTGGAGGCCGAAGAGGAGGAGGAAGAGGAAGAAGAAGACATCCTGATCTGCGTTCTCCCCGAAGACCTCCCCATCTGTATCCCGGCATCCTCCTCCACTGCGCCAGTGCAGCTCCCGCCGAGCAGCGGGATAATCTCCATCCTCTCCACCGCAAGCCAAGGCATCATCCCTGGGCCCCATCCCAGCCCTAGTGTCACAAGTGGTGGCGGCGGTATCGAGACAAAAACCCCGCGACCAACACGCACAATCACCACACGCACGCGCACACGCACTCGCACTCGCAGCCGCACCATTCGACCGTCACAGACAACCCTATCGAAGATCCCATCATCCAGCAGCATCAGCAGCAGCAGCAGCAGCACCGTCCCCATCCATCCATTCCCCATCCCGGGCCCCGGTCCCGCGCCAATCCCTACCTCCCTGCCCCGTCCACCACCGGCAACCTTCCCGATTCCCACCTCCTTCCCCATCCCCCCCACTTCTCTCCCCATCCCTCACCCTCCACTCCCCACAACAACGCCCGTCCCCTTCCCCATGCCACATTTCCCACCCGAAGTCGAGCAAGAAGAAGAAGAAGAGCCATCAGAGTCGTCATCACATGCACCACCGCATCCCCCGGCCCCTCCTCCTTCACCGTCCTCTTCTTCCACTCAAACGCCCACACACATCTCCTCCACCACCGTAACGGGACCATTCTTCGTCCCGACTCCTTCTTCTTCTCGGGCTTCATCATCGTCGTCGTCATCCCGTCCCTCACAGCCACCACCACACCCGCCAGCTCCAGCACCAGCTCAAGTAGCAGCCCCAACAGCCCCAACGGGACACCTACCCGCACGCCACCACGAGTTCCGATTCCCAGTGATCCGGCGGGATCTTGGAGACGTCTTGGCCTAATCCGATCTAATCACTTGGAAATTCTTCACAAGTCAAACGGACGGCGTGTGTGTTGGGTTTGTAGTATCGCTGGGGGCTTGGGAGGTAGCGAACAAACGCTCATTGTGATGATTATGATCATGTAATCCGCCTGCTTTTCCTCGTTTCCTCGCTTCTTCTCTTCTAATATTGTTTCTGTCTCTCTGTTTTCGAATCTGGACTCTAATCTAATATTCCTTATCAATAATGGAGGGGTCGCGGTAACTGAAAAAAAAAAAAGAAAAGTTTGCTTCTTCTTTGATGCACGCACGCCACGCCAGGCTATACCTTGCTCGTTCATCGTCTTCCGGGTGGTAAGTTAGTGGTTTATGACATTGATGGTGGCTTGTGATAACCATGATGCTTGCGATATCCATGGTACTCCGTGATACGCACAGTATTTTCGTTATATTCATAGTATTGATAGCAATTGCAGTGCAGTGCAGTGCAGTGCAGTGCAGTCTAGGGATTCAAAACCAGAACCCACCTTACCCTGCTAATCATAAAGTTTAATTAAGAAATAGAGAGGGAGGGTTGCAGTATTGGGAACTACTGTACTGTACTTGCTATTAATGGATATTCTAAGAATCAGAGATATGGAAGGTTTTCTAGCTATTCCCCACACACACACTCTAGCTTTTCATCCGCCTGCGACAGTTATCATGGATATACTTCTTCGGTCCGAATATAGATTGAATATCTGACTCAAATCCCATCTCCTGATGGGGCTAGAAGCGGAAGAAAGTGAATATAGCCCGGTTTAAATACAATACAGATTTTGAGAAGGAAGAATGGCACATGCCGCTTAATATAGAAAATAAGTAGAAGAGGAGAAAAAGGGTTAGAACATGAAGGATGATGCCGGGAACACATCAATATAATAAAGATTTAAGATGGTGGAAAGTGGAAAAGGTGGAGACAAACATATGCAAGAGAAACAACAAAAGTTGCAACCATTTACAGACATACAGGGAGATTTTGGTGGGTGTGGTTGCGGAGTCAAAACTCATGCCAATCTTCATTCCATGCAAACATGTAGTATAGTTCAGGACAGAAATTGAAAAGAGCAGCCCGCCGCCTCCCCCTCCAACCCTTCTCGCTCCCACTAAGTCATAGAAAAAAAGTTTCCATGCGCCGCAAAACACCACACAGAGACACATAGGCCTTACAGGTCACAATCACAATCCGAAATCAGAAAAAATATAGTATACGCGGAAAAAAAACGTGTCAGATACAACGTATAAATGGCCATGGCTGGAACTGTCGACAATGGTTACGCGCAACAAGACGTATGCAAAGATGGAGGATTCGACCGAGAAGCAAGGGAAAGAGGAGGGGGGGGGGGCAACGGCAAGAGCTGGTTATGTTCAGTCACACATGAAATTCAGGGAGTTAGGCTCCCAAGATCCACATGTGCACCTGAAATGATGCGAAGGAGGAATGTTGAATGAAAGACGTAGAAGTCACCATGCCAGTGAACATTTCGTACAGGCGCGCAAAGGGATAGGGTATATGATTTGCATCGAAGCCACTCGAAAGATGAAAAAGAAAAAAGCAAGCGGAATGGAAGAATCTTGAAATCGTCTCACGAGCTGTTGGACCGCAACAGTGCCTGTGATTCGGTCAGTATAAGCAAATTCTTTGTGATTCCGTGAGCCAGCTTACCCTCTCCATGGTCAGGTCTTCCTTCTCCAGAGTCGGGCTTGCCAGACTACCGCCGTTCATGGCGCCTGATGCGGTCAAGGCTCTCGCCTCCATACCTGGGCGCTGATGCTTGCCATCCGCGGGGCTGTGATGGACGGGATGCATCTCGCCGCTGCTGGAGATTCGCGATTCTTTGCTCTTTTCTAGAAGGGAACCACCTAGGGTAGCACACTTCAAGATGGTCTGCATCATTTGGTTCTGCTTCAGAGGCTTGGACAGATACTCATCCATCTGGGCTTGGATACACTTCTCTCGATCGCCCAACATGGCGTGCGCCGTTAACGCGATGATAGGGGTTCGGCTGAGGCCGCTCTCCCTCTCGTACTCACGGATCTTTCCGGTGGCTTCGAATCCACCCATTACCGGCATCTGCACATCCATCAAGATGACATCGTAGCGACGCTGTTTCACGGCTTCGACGGCCTCGAGACCGTTACTGACAACAGACACGTTGTGGTTGTGCTTCTCCAAAATCTTGACGGCCAATTTCTGATTGACGTCATTGTCTTCCGCCAAGAGAATGTCGAACGAGCGAGAATGGTCGGTCGTGATGGGCGTGGAACGGCCCTCCAAAGCAGGCAGCATACCATTGCCGAGATCGATTGGTTGACATGGCGTCGTCATGTATGAGCTGATACCGAGGTCAAGGGCGGACTTCAAGCTGACACACACCAAGGGGCAGACGAGAACAATAGGTACATATTTGAAGTCATCGAATGTGCGCAGCAGTCGGGCAGTCGCCACAGAGTCCACGATAATCACATCGTAAGCATGGCCGGACTCCTTGCCAGAGGGATCTTGGATTTCCGGTGGCGGTACGTGGTCCTCATTGCGCACAACAATAGGCTCTAAGTCGATCTGCTTGAGCATTTTCATAACATTCTCGGCCTGGCCACCGTTCTCTCCCTTGTCAATGAAGAGGACCCGATGGTGCTTGTACGGCATGAGTTGCGACGCAATGACACTCAAAGACTGGTCGGCTAGTTTCACGACGCAGGTGAAATGGAATGTGCTGCCGTGACCATACTCGGACGTGACCCAAACATCACCACCCATCAAGTTCACCAGACGCTT